CACGACAACAACAACTACTCCGCGGGACCCCCAACTCCTGGCTCTTCCTCAAGCACGCCCTGGAACCAGCAGACACAAGCTTTGCCTTCCAATGTGTGCAGAAAGTGTGGCCAAACGGGCCACTGGGGCAGCGAGTGCCCCAACAAAGGCAAAGGGAAAGGACAGCCTGCAGGCGACAATAAAGGAAAGGGGTACAGTACCAATAACAACAGCTGGATCGGAACCAGCACCCCGGGCGGCACTACAGGGGCCCACGCTCCGGCTGGGTATCCCCCGCCACCCCCGGGTTTCAGCGAAAGGAAGAGAAGCCGGATCGGTGCCGGCCAACTGGGGCCTGTGTACGATGAGAGTTGGATCGGAACCAACCAACCATCACCAGGCAGTTTTTCGGGCGGCGGATCGGCCCCGCCAGCCCCGTCACTGACTACTGCTCCACACGTTACTTTGGAGAGTCTCACTTCGCTAGCGCACCAGTACATGGACCAGCAAAAGCCGAACTACAAGGACACAAGAGACCTGCTACAAAAGCTCTCGGGCCAGATGCTCCGCGTCCCCGCTCCCAGTTTGACGCTTGGTGCAAATCTTGCCGCCTCAAACGTAGGCCTGCGCATGATTGCGGACACAGGGGCGGAAAGGCACATTTTGTGCGGACAGGACTTCGTCTTCGCCATCAACCGGCGGCTGTTGGATCAGCCGTTGATTTTGGAAACAGCAAACGGTGAAATTGTGGTCCGTGAGTGCGCCGACGCCTTCTGCGGCGGCGTGTGGCTAGTATTTTGCCTCTTATGTGAAACTGCTACCTCTAGTTTACTTGCCTTCATTTTACTTGCCGACGAGGGCTGGGATTACGTACAATGACGTCACGGAGCTATTTTGATAAACCCCACAGGGACGAGTTTTCAATTGGAGCGAGAGAAAAATCTATACTTTTTAGGTTCTTCCACACCAATGATGTCCGAGGAGCGGGAGCAGGACCAGGAGAAGGAGGGGGGAGATGAGGAGGGATCGGCCGCCCGTCGTTGTCGCCGTGGTCCTCCACGACCCTCTGTTGACAGCTGCGCTGCTGAGTCACGGCCGGCTGGACGTAGAGTGGTCGACATTTCTGCAAAACCTGCTCGTCCGGGCGGCGGTGGGGACAGCTGTGCTGCTGTGCCGCGGCCGGCTGAAACCCCGCCGTCCCAGCTCCCCTTCGTAGGGCCTTGCCCCGTCACCCCCGGCACCAACGCGGGGAACACATACCTCACTTACGCTGGACACGCCCTGCGCGAGGAGCCCGCCGTCCTCCTGGACACGCCCCGCGACGCCATCAAATACTTGCAGCGCCACGGCCCCCAGAAGCTCATGGTGTACCTCCCAGACGGCTTCGGTGCAGCACCCCGTCCTTCCTCTGAGGTCGACGCCGTGCTCTTGGACCATTTCCGGAAAGGGCACACCGAATGCGACGCAAATTGCGACATTTGCGTGCAATCGAAACTGCGTGCGCGCCCTGCCCGACGCGTTCACGAGGAACCTGCCGGTGGTGAGGTTTCCGCTGACTTGGCAGGGCCACTTCCTTTGTCTTTGAATGGTAATCGGTGCGGTTTGATTGCTGCTGTTTTGCGCAAGTCACGATGCGGCCTCGCGCAAGGCCTCCCGAATAAGGAGTCCAGCACTCGCCGGGAGGCCCTGGTCACGTGCAAGCTTCACCAGCGTCGCCTTTGGCGTTTCCACTCGGATCTTGGTGGTGAGTTTATGGGTGAATGCGACCGCTGGTTACGTGAGTCGGGCCTGGTGCACACGGACACGGGCGGATACAGATCCCAAGCCAATGGTATCGCTGAACGTCGTCTCCAGGACTTGTTCGAAACCACCCGTGCCCTCCTGTTGCAATCGTCTGCTCCGAAAGTTCTTTGGGATGAGGCGTACCTGCACGCAAACGCCTTGTTCAACAATACTCTACGGGCCGTGCCCGGACACGCGGACAAGCAGTTCCCACAGGCATTCGAGGACCCGGACCGTCACGAAGTGGCCCCCGTGGGGTTGCAAGGCCTATTACCACATACCGAAACCACACCGGCAGGACAAACTTGAAGCAGTTGCGAAGCTAGGCATTTTCGTTGGTTTCGATTCTTCCACGTCAGGGGCGTACCGTATCTCTCCAATTTCTCCTCTTGGGGACCAGTGGTCTGTGGAAAAGCCGGTCGTCGCCACCACCGTTCGCTTCTTCGAGGGTTTGTTTCCTCTTCGCACTCCTGATCGTCAAGCTGCTCCCCTCGAAGTGCCTCTTGATATAGCGGACTCGTTGTCTCCAGCTGCATCGTCTACGGCCTCGCCTGCTCCGCCGGTCGGCCAACCAGGTGCTCCCAAGGACAGCCGTGCTGCTGCGTCACGGCCGGCTGAAACTCGTCGCCCTGGGGCCGCTCCCAGAGGAACATCGCGCAAGCCAGGTGGATTCGCATCCACAGAGGAGCAACGGAAAAAGAGCCGTGAGAGGTATGCTCGCAAGCGGGCTCGAGCCAGCTTCGCTGCTCCAGCGGGCCTGGATGAAGACTCTTGGTCCTCTGATTGGGGCGCTGGCCCCGGAGTCTCGACCCCTTCCTCCTGGGCATCTTCTTCCGCTTCGGACTCCGACGAGGCTCCCCCCGACCTTGCTCCAGGAGAGGTGGCCGCGTTGTTCGTCGGTGCCGCAGTTCGTCCAACTCTCGTTGCTGGACCCTGCGGTGGACTTGCGTCCAGGGATCACGATGTGCTTCGGGCCTTTTCGGCCGAGATCGTGAAGCAGGAGTCTATCGGCGAGCTTCTGTATGTACTTGGCCGCCAGTCCGCCCACGTCACGCAGCACGTGGACACCAGGTCCTATTTGCAGCGCCCTGACGGTCGTGGCGCTGAGGCGGCGGCTAAGGAGTTCGCGCGCATGGCCGAGCACCCCGTGTGGCTTTCGCCAGTCGAGCTTGCCTCGATCCCTGACTCTGCACGCGTGGTGAAGGGTAAGTTGTTGATTTCGGAAAAGAACTGGGAAATGCCCGATCACCTTCATGAGTGCAAGGCTCGTTTAGTTGCTATGGGCAACGTTCTTTTCAACAAACGCATGGGCGTGATCAAGTGTGCCTCGGACTCCTTGTGGTCACCTGTCGCAAGTCTTGTCGGAGCTCGGTTCGTACAGGCTCGTAGCGTTGCCTTGGGGAGGGAGGCCGAGACCATTGACCTCCTGAGTGCGTATCTTCAGATCTATCTTGGCGGTGACATCGACTACTACATCATCATCCCGGCTGAGGTTATCGACATCCTTCCTCCTGATACCCGTTCTCAATTTCGTGCTCTCCACATGCCCGTCCATCTATGGTCTTCATCGTTCCGGTTCTGATTTCATATCTGCTTTCACACAGTGGTTATTGTGGAATGGTTGGCAATCGACGGAGGAGGAGCCGGCCGTTTTCTATTGCTGGCATGCTGAGTCCACGGGTCTTGACGTGAAGCGAGCTTTGAGGTTAAAATCTTGGGTTGACTCGGAGTTGACCTCTGGACGGAACCCCTTCTCAGATTCCTCTGCTCGTTCTTCTGCTACTTCGTGGCGTGACGTCTCCTTGGCCATGGATGCTCCTCAACACCGGGCCCACCGAAGCTCCAAGCAGTGCAGCACGATGGCAACCTACGTGGACGATTGCGAGCTGGACGCTCAGAAGACGCACCGCGAGTGCATCTGGGCTGTCATTCGGACCATGTTTGCGTCAAAGGACCCCGAACTTGTCCAACGATTCCTCGGCTGTATCTGCAGCCCTCCACGTCACATGATTCTAGAAGACGGCCGCGTAGGCACTGTTGTCCGTATGTCCCAGTCTTCCTATTGCCAGCGCGTGGTACGGGATTGGGAGAGCGTCACAGGATTGCACGCGAAACCTACCACGACTCCGGCGCAGCAGAACTCCCCACCTCGCCCTGAGGATTTGCATCTCGTGGAGTCTGGCACCGGCCGCGGGATGATCATAGGCGAGATCTTCTACGCTGCTCGTTGCACGCGTCCTGACGTGTCCTTCGCTGTGGGCCGTTTGGCCCGGTACGTTGACAAGTGGTGCGAGTGGGCTGAGTCTGAGTTGTCCCACCTCGTCGGGTATTTATGTTTTACTTCCGGATTCGAGTTGATCATGTTGAACGCCGGGGATAGTTGGGACGACCTTGATCTACATGCCTTGTCTGATGCTGATTTCAACTCGCCTAAGAGCACAACAGGTTTCTACTTGGAGCTTGGATCCCAATACCCTCTGTCATGGGGCGCTGCGCGCCAGGCAATTACCACCACGAACTCTGGTGAGAGCGAGTCAATAGCTTGGGCAACGACTGCTAAGAACACCATCCGTCTGGCTGCGATGATCGAGTATACCCGGTGCACCCCTGTGAAGACCAAGGGCCACATGGACAACCAGGCCGTAGACTTGGCCATCAAGAAAGGTTATAGTCAGAAGCTGGGTCATCTCAAGAAGCACGCGGAGGTATCACTCCTTTTCTTGCACGAATGCGGCGTTCAGCCAGAGCACACACCAGGCACAGAGAACATCGCCGATACTTTCACGAAAGCCCTGGGTCATAACAAGCTGATGTATTTGATTGGGAGGTTGTTTGGAGTCCGTGCCGAGAGATTTCCAAACGGATCGATCCGGATCGGTGTCGCTTGGATCTCCTCGTCTTCTGAGGTGGCTCCGGCGTGTGCCCCCACGGAGCCCATGCTCAGCAGGCGCGCGGCTCCGACTGGTGGCATCCGCATGCTCGAGAACACGTCCCGTGCCATGTTGCTGGACAATGCTGCGTACTACGGGGACACCGCGAACAAGTGCGACACCGAGCGCCCTCTCCAGTGGGCGCGCCGAGACACCCTCCTCGACTACCAGGCCCAGCAGCTCTGGAAGGCAGAGCGGCTGAAAGAGCGTATGCAGGCTGACGTGCGTGCCAAACGGGACGGTGACAGCTGTGCTGCTGCGTCACGGCCGGCTGGATCCGCCCGTTTCCGTGCTGACGTGGAGGCTGGCATGGACGTTTGGGTGGCTGCGAAACACGAACACACCAGGAAGAGGGCAAAGCACGATCCGCGACCAGAACCTGCTCTGAGCCTCGTATCTTCGTTGTCCCCTTCCGTGCCTTCGAAGGTCCTGAAGGTCATCATCGATACTGCTGACGACGATTTCTTTCGTGTGGAGTGTTTGACTATGGCCGGAGACGGGTTCGAGGTCCAGGTGGATCGTGGCGATCGTTTCGGTGACCTCTTCGGTGCTCTTCGTCAGAGGGTTGGCGGGCCTTTCTCTCTTCTCTCGGAGACAGATTTGTTCTTGAACAATCTGCGGCCCGACTACCCGGTCAAGGACATCCCTGATATGACACAGGAGATCTTGAATTCAGCACTAGTAGAAGCAGAACAGCTTTTGCCAGAGCAGTACAACCGGAGCTACACGCGCAAGCCCCCTTCTGCTGCCCAGAGAGAGCGTAAGCAGACAAACCGACGATTGAACAAGCAGGCGAAACGGCTGATTCAGCACACGACCACACCGAAGGCTTCCGGAGCACTTCCTGGAGCTACTGCCAAGGCTGCCGGGCCGCCGCCTTCGACTTCTGAGGGCAAGTGTCCCATTGGGGCGTGCCCGGCGCGCTGGGCATCACATTCGTGAGTAGATATTTGTAGTAACACGTCTGGTCACGT